TCCTTCCAACAGCCTGTCCGGTTTAACTTGCTGCGTAGACCAGGCTTCTGAAGCCAATTTAATCCTTTCTTCCTTTTTTTCCCCCTTTATTTTTGCTGGCAGGCTGACCAGCAAGCCACTCTGCAGGGCTGCCTGCAAACCCAGGTGCTCCCGCGGCATCCCTGGGGACAGAAAGCCACCCCTGAGGGACGAACGCTCCCCGCAAGCCGCCGCGCTGGAACGCGGAGGGCTCGGCTGCGAACGCAACACAGCCTGGCCCTGAAGCCGAGCAGCACCACGGCACGACGCGAGGCTGCTCCTCCTGCACAGATCACCCCGGCCTGTGCCGCGGAGACGTCCCTGCTGGTGGGGATTACAGGGATTCAAGGAGCGTCTCGGGGTCACCGACCACCGCTTGTGACTGGGGATTAGCAGAGCAAAGTCACTCCAGCGGGAGAAGCCAAGCAGGGTGCTGCGTCCAGCCCTACCTCTGACATCCAGCTCCTCCTCCATGCTCTGGATGTAGGTGGGCGATTTCTGCTGGACGAAGTAGAGGACCTCGATGGCATTGGCCATCCAGAAGAGGATGTGCTGCAGGTCCGGGAGAAGGTCTGTGATGGTGAAGCGGGACAGGGTGGCGGGGTCCTGGCTGGGGAGACACAGCGGGTGTTACGGCTGCTGCTCCTCGGCATCCCCACTTGAGTTTCTGGGGAGAAAACAGCCAGCCTGGGGCAATGCCAGGAGAGCATCTGCACCCCCCACCCCCAAGCCCAGCACCCCCTTAGGAACACCCTTTGCAAGCAAAAATCTGGTGGTTTTTGCTCTGCAGGACAGCAAAGGGGACCCTGCGGGGACCAGGCTGGCCGAGGGCCACCTGGCCTTTGTGGGGTGCCACGTTTTGGGGGAGGAATCCCCCTAATACAGCGGAACTGCAGTAAATACTCGTGGCTGAAGAGCAGCTCTCCCCGAGAAGTATGTGCTGCTCCTGCCAGCTCGGGACGGTTAAACCCAGCCTGCCCAAGCTGGGCTGTTCAAAAATAAAACTAAATAAATAAAAAGCATCTGGGAAGTTTCTCAACTGCTGAACTGCTTTTTCCTGCTATAGGAAAGGCCTGGGAAGCATCCTCGGAGCTCGTCCTAAAGGAACGCTCACAGCAAGCACCAACGGTTTCTCCAGATGCTGCTTGGGAGCTGGATTTTGGAAATGGCTGGGAAGCCGGCCTCACGCCCCGCCGGGAGCCAACCCCCCACACCTCTGTGATGGCCCCAAAGTGGTGCTCCCCACCCCGGGACCCCACATGCCACCATCCCTGGGTGGACACATGCAATGTCAGCCCTGTCGCCGCTCCGCAGGGACAGGGGTCTTCAGCATGAATGGGGTGAGACCCCACGCTGGGGCCATCCTCAGGGATGCTGAAGCCACATGTGCAAAGCCTCAGCCTGGCCTTGGATTGGAGAAGACCCCAGAGCTGCTGCAGGTCCTGTTCCCCTCCAAGCTCGTCTGCTTTTCCAGCCCCACACATTCCCAAGCAGGGTCCTCGCAGGCACCGTGGCGAAAGGACTAGAGAGGTGAATGCGTGGGATTGAGCAGGAAAACGCAGTGGGCGTGGGCGCTGTGAGGGTGGTTATCGCCAGCCATGGGCTCCCCTTGCTTGTGGAAGAAGAATTCTCCCCGTTTCAGGGCAAAATGAGCAGGGGCGGCGGGCTGCACTTACTGCTGGGACTGCTTCTCAGCCAGCTCCCGCGTCCGCTCCTGGGCAGGGAGAGAAGGGGAAAGCAAAATGAAAACCAGCGGGATGGGGTGGCCCGAGCTGGAGGAAACCCCACGGGGTGGGGGTCCAGCAACACCCCCACCCACCAACACCCCCGTCCCACCGCCGACTGACCCACACCGTCCTCTGGATCATTTTGGCCACTTTGAGCAGCAGCTGCCCGAAGTCGCCCGGCTCGAAGCTGGTGGCCGAGTGCTGGATGCAGAGGCAAAGCAGGAAGGCGGGGGTCAGCTTGTGGTCGTCCCCCCCCGGCTCGATCAGGGTCATGATGCGCCGCAGGAGCACGTCCTCGGCCGCCGGCTCAAACTCCAGCAGCAGCTTTCTGCGGGGGCCCCTGGGGCCGCCCGGGGGGGGGG